AGAGCCCTCCCCTGTGTCCCTGTGTGAGGGGAGATAAGATCTGAGGAGAGCCTCTAATCAGCTCAGTCCGGTTTATGACACCATTAGTGTAGAGGAGTCGCCACACCAGGAGATGAGAGGATTCCTCAGAGCTGACCCGGCAAGTTTTCCCGCTTGTCAGAGCAGAGTCAGACTAGTTGGAGTTTGAGAGAACTGGGTTTGTCAGGAGAACATTCCAGTGACAGACACACACAGGTGACAAGGTTTACCCCAAAACATACAAAGGGACCTTTATGTGGCGTTCATGTACGCCGCGCCTGTCTGCGGAACCAGGCAAAGCCGCCATGGACGTCCTCATATTCAGCGACGTTTGCTGTAGATGTAAACCACGAGGGCTCATTCCCATCGCATGTGGTAACCACTTCACCAACGGAAGGTTTTACCCCCCTTCATGACCTGCATTTTTGGGCTATTCAGAACTGTGCTACTTAAACTGGCAATTGCATGGTCATGCAGCACTGTACCCAAATATATAACTTGTTTTTTTCAAACAAATGTATTTATGTATTGATTACAGGTAATTTTATAGCGACGTCAATTTACACAGAACTTAACCTCTTCACGCCAGCCGCACACAAACGTGCGGCCTCCCGACGTCTGCCCCTAGATGCCCAGCGGCTGCACATTTGCTTTCTATTAACCACATGCCGCCCAGCCACTGTATAAATAGAGCAGCAGGGCTGGGCAAAAGCATGTTTTAAAACGTGCGTTTTGTAAACAGGTAGGGGGCGCGCACGAGGCGCGCCGCCGCCCTACCTGTCCCGCCAATCACAGCAAAACGCATTTGTAAACGCTATAACTTTCACGTAAACCAATTAATTTACACGTATTGGGGTTTTTTTTTTTTAGCAAAGACATGTCGCAGAATGCATTTTGGCAGAAATTTATGACTAAATATGATTTTTAATTTTTTTTTACTGGACATGTTTTATAGCAAAAAGTCCAAAATATTGTTTTTTTTTCCTCAAAATTGTCAGCCTTTTTTTTTATAGCGCAAAAAATAAAAACCGCACAGGCAATCAAATACCACCGAAAGAAAGCTCAATTTGTGGGAAAAAAAGGATGTAAATTTCATTTATGTACCGTATTGCATGACCGCGCAATTGTCCATTAAACTAGCGCAGCGCTGTATAGCAAAAAAAATGGCGTAAATTGCAGTATCTATAACTGTCACACAAAGCAATCAATATACACTATTTTTTTTACCAAAAACATGTAGCAGAATACATTTTGGCCTAAATTTATAACTTACTGAGTTGACTATATATTGTTTATAGCTGAAAATAAAAAATATTGTTTTTTCTTCAAAATTTTTGGCATTTTTTTGTTTATAGCGTGAAAAATAAAAAGCACACAGGTGATCAAATACCACCGAAAGAAAGCTCTATTTGTGTGAAAAAAAGGACGTAAATTTCATTTGGGTACAGCATTGCATGACCGCGCAATTATCAGTTGAATTAGTGCAGCGTTAAGTAGCAAAAAGAGGCCTGGTCATTAAGGGGGGTAAATCCTCTGGAGGTCAAGTGGTTAAAAAAAAAGGACATATGTGCCGAGAGGGACATTCTTTCGATCGGGACCTCTCCTGATCATGTGACGTCGCGTCACGGCGGTCACATGACCGTAAAACCTGCCCCGCCTCCTGGCTTAACCACTTCCTGTCCGGACACTTTTACCCCTTCCTGTCCAGGGCAATTTTTAGCTTTCAGCGCTATCACACTTTGAATGACAATTGCGCGGTCATGCAATACTGTACCCATATGAATTTTTTACCATTTTTTTTGAGACAGATAAAGCTTTATTTTGGTGGTATTTATTCACCGCTGGGATTTTTAATTTTTTTTACTATGTAAATGAAAAAGTTCAAAAATTTTGAAAAAAGTGCTTTTTTTATATAAAAGTTTGCAAATAAATAATATTTCATCATAAATCTTAGCCAAAATTTATTCCGTTATTTTTTTAGTAAAAAAAAAAAATCCAAATTAGTTTATAACCAAAAGTTATAATTTTTAAACTTTTTTTTTACATTTTATTTTATTTTTTTTATATTATTATTTATTTTTTTTTTTTTACATACTGTCACCCTAGCAGTACACTGTCACCATGGTGACACTGTACTACTTGTGGAGGGTGATGAAAGATTTTTTTTTTTTTACACTGATTGCTTTTACACCCATATAGGATGTAAAAGCAATCATTTCTCTTTCTCTCTGTCTGCATTCTTGCAGTCATTGAGAATTACTGAGTGAGCTGTGAGTGGTCACAGCTTGTCCCATGGTACAAGGCTGTTGTGATCACTGATTCGCCAATCAGTGATCACATGATCGGGACCTCGTACAGAGGTCCCGTCTGACGATCGGTGTTTCACTGTGTCCGGAGGACACAGCGGGCACCGGATCACGGTGGTGCGCGCTCCCAGGGAGCGCGCACAGCTAGAAAAGGCGGGTGCTGTTTATGGACGGCAACCCGACCCTGGACTGCCACCGCCCTGCCGTTTATAAACAGCAGGCGGACGGCAAGAGGTTAAAGGGCCGGGAGGCACTGGCATGAAGGGGTTAAAATAGTAAACTCTTTTTGTATACTTTTACCTCATAATACAGCTTACTGTACTGTAGGTAAAATGAATATCTCGTAAATGTGGGCAGCACAGTGACTAAATGGTTAGCACTTCCTCCTGGCAGTACTCAGGTCGTTGGTTCAAATCCCAACCATGGCACCACCTTCCTGGAGTTTGCATATTCTCCCTGTGCCTGCGTGGGTTTTCTCCAGGTACTCCAGTTTCCTCCCACTTTCCAAAGACATGCTGGTAGGTTAATTGGATCCTGTCTAAATTGGCCCTAGTATGTGTATGTATGAATGTAAATTAGGGACTTTAGATTGTACGCCCCTTGAGGGTTAGGGACTGATACAAATGTACAATATATATGTAAAGTGCTGCGTAAATTGACAGAACTATATAAGGCCTGAAATAAAAAACTAAAACATGCACTGTTTAGGAGATATTCACTCTTTTTTGAGAGCCGGTTCATGCTCTCTGAAGGAACAGTATACCTGTCCCTTCAGAGCACTGTGCCATGTCCCAGAACACACGGGAGTGACATCATCGCAGCTCGGCCTGTCAGAGGGCCGGAGCTTGCAAACCCGAAAGGAAGACTGGGTGACAATGGAACCAACTGCAGTGGTGACAGCTTACCACTGGAGGGCTTTGTTATAACCACTTGACAACCAGGCTATAGCCGAATGCTGGCTAGAGTGTGGTTGTCCAGTTCTGGGAGGGTGTCATATGATGCCCCCCCCCCCTAAAAAAATATAAAACATTTTGAAAATAGTAGAAAATATTAAATCAACAAAACATGAAACTGCTAAATTTCTTTTAATTTGCAAAAATAAGATGCCACCAGCACCGATATTAACTACTTGCTATCTGCACTATAGTTGAATGACAGCTACAGCACAGTTGTCCAATTCTGGAAGGGCGTCATATGACCCCCAGCTGGACGCACCCGGGGATCTCTGTGATTGCTGTGTTCTACGGACACAGCTGATCACATGACAAGGTAAAAGACTAATCACAACAGCCTTTTAGCACGTGATCAGCTGTGTTCAATGACACGGCCGATCACAAAGTATATACAGCTGCCAGTTATCGGCAGCACTTTCCTCTCACTGTCACAACGAGAGGAAATTAACTGGCAAGAGTCACAGAGGACATCTGCACTGATGATCAGGGCACTGATTATCAGTGTAGCCCCAAAAGTGACCAGCAGTGCCACCAGTCAGTGCTGTCAGTGTCGCCAGTCAATGCCCATCATTGCCGCCTATCAGTGCTGCATATAAGTGCAACATCATCAGTACCTCCTCATCAATTCCCACCAGTGCTGCCTCATCAGTGCCACCTATCAGTGCTGCCTCATCAGTGCAGCCTCATCAGTGCAGCCTCATCAACGCACATCAGTGATAGAGAAAATGTACCTGTTTGCAAAATTGTATAATAGAAACAAAGAAAACAATTTTTTTTTTTTTTTTTGCTCTTTTTTCATTTATGCGATCTGATTCTGCATATTGCACCGCGTTTTGTGAACTGATTTCGGGGTGTTAACATACACACCCGCAGTGGTTCTCATGATTGAGGTGCAATTATGATGTGGTGCAGAATTTGCACAGAAACCGGTGCAAATTCTGCACCGCATCAGTGTGAACCTAGACTAAAACTCGACACTCAAACGCTCAACAAGAAAAAATTCTATTAGTTTCAATGGCCCCTGTTCACATTTGAGCAGTTTGTTGCTTCTAGCAAAACGCCTGTCGCTCAAAAGAAAGTATATGCGCTACTGTTCATTCATATTACTCCCCCTGGAATGACAGCGATCACTCTGTCAGCTTTTCCACTGAAACCTGGAAAATATATAAATGTTGTAGGAATCTTTCCCATTTAATAGTGTGCAGCAACAGCCTTGAAGAAGGGAGAGTCTTTCCCCCAGAAACACGTTGGGTTGATGTACTTGTCGTTAATTTCAATAAATGCCTCTTAACCACTTGCCTACCAGGCACTTATACCCCCTTATTTACCAGGCCAATTTTCAGCTTTCAGCGCTGCCGCACTTTGATTGACAATTGCGCGGTCATGCAACATTGTACCCATATGAAATTTTGATAATTTTTTTCTCACAAATAGAGCTTTCTTTTGGTGGTATTTAATCGCCACTGGGCGCTTTACTTTTTGCGCTATAAATAAAAAAAGTGCAAAAAATTTGAAAAAAAAAAAAAAGTTTCTTTGTATTATAAAATTTTTCAAACAGGTATTTTTTCTCCTTCACTGATGTGTGTTGATGAGGCAGCACTGATGGGCACTGATAGGCGGCACTGATGGGCACTGATAGGCGGCACTAATGAGGTGGCACGGACAGGCGGCACTGATAGACAGCACTAATGAGGTGTCACGGATAGGCGGCACTAATATGCAGCACTGATAGGCGGCACTGATAGGTGACACTGATGATGGGTACTGATAGATGGCACTGACTGGCATCACTGCTGGGCACTGACTGGCGGCACTGACTGGCACAACCCCTGGGCACTGACTGGTGGCACTGACTGGCAGCACTGCTGGGCTGCACTGGTGGGTGGCACTGGTGGGCAGCACAGGTGGGTGGCACTGGTGGGCACAGGTGGGTGGGCACAGGTGGGTGGCACTGCTGGGCACAGGTAGGTGGCACTTCTGGGCACAGGTGTGTGACACTGCAGAGTGGCACAGGTGGGTGCACTGCTGGGCACAGGTGGGTGCACTGCTGGGCACAGGTGGGCAGAGCTAGTGGGCGCACTGCTGGGCACAGGTGGGCGGAACTTGCGGGTAGCACTGCTGGGCACCGATCATCAGGGCACTGATCATCAGTGCCCTGATGATCGGTGCCGATCCCCGCTGTGACAACTGCCGGTTCTCGGCAGTACTTTCCTCACGATCTGACAGCGTGAGGAAAGTGCAGCCGAGAACCGGCACTTGCATTTCCCTCTGATCAGCGTGTCATTAGACACCGCTGATCACGTGGTAAAAGGCCGCTGTGATTGGCCTTTTACCACATCACGTGATCAGCTGTGTCCATAGGACACAGCGATCACGGAGATCGCCGGGTGCGCGCCCCCTGGGGCGCGCAGGAGAGCGCGTTCTGGGCGGACGTCATATGACGTCCACTCAGAACTGGCCGGCCGCAGTGCAGCCGTCATTCGGCTATCTGCGGTCGGCAACAAGTTAATGTACCAGCAAAAGTGCATTCTTTTGAACATTGGGCGCTCCTTCTTTCCTAATATTCCATGTGATAGTCTTCAGGCAGATTTGAGCTTTTGTGTCCCCGTGTACTTGAATGGAAATCAAGAAATGAGCATTTTTTAGGGTTTTTTTGCAAACATATTTTCAGGCATTTTCAGCTCAAAGATCAGCTGTCTCCCCGTTCCTAGCATCTCTCCTCACCTTAAGCCTCGTACACACGATCAGAAAATCGTACGAAAGATACAGCTTTCCAAGTGATCGTACAATAATGTGTTAGTTTGTACACAGCTTTCAAGAGACAATCAGAACAGTTCAGCTGATATTTTCCAAAGGCACAAACTGTTTCTCATACATTATCAGATCATATGTTTTTTGTTTAACCACCTCCTGTCTGCCCTATAGCGGAAATACTGCTACAGGGCGGCACGGGTGCGCAAAATCACGTATATATACGTGATTTCGCATTTCCGGGTAGGTGGCGTGTGCATGCCCTACCCGCGCCACCATTCGCGGCTGTCAATCACCGAGTCCCGGCCGCTGATTACTCTCCGGTGCCCAGTGATTGCCGAGGATCTCCGACTGGGAGGAGAACTGTTTGTATACAAAATAGTTCTCCCTGTCAGCTCCTGCACACTGCTTTGCATGGCTGTATACAGCACAGCCATACAAAGCGGTGTGCTTATAGTGAAGCACAAACACATGGCCCCATAGTAAATCATATCCAGCCCACAGCACACAGTTAATCCTTTGATCGCCCCACATGTTAACCCCTGCCTGCTGAGTACCATTAGTACAGTGTCAGTGGTTTTTTTTTTTTTAGCACTGATCACTGTATTGGTGTCACTGGGGATGTGAGTGATACCAAGTCAATTCCCCCCCCAATGTCAAAATGCTCGCCGCAGTCCCGCTATAAGTCGCTGATCATTACTAGTAAAAATTAAACAAAAAAAAAATTCCAGTATATATACCGCCATTTGTAAACGCTATAACTTTCACGAAAGCAATTAATTTACACGTATTGTGATCTTTTTTGTAGCAAAGACATGTAGTAGAATAAATTTTGGCCTAAATTTATGGTGAAATTTGATTTTTAAAATTTTTTTACTGGACATGTTTAATAGCAAAAGTCAAAAATATTTTTTTTCTCAAAATTGTCGGTCTTTTTTTTAATAGCACAAACAATAAAAACCGCACAGGCGATCAAATACCACTGAAAAAAAAGCTCGATTTGTGGAAAAATAAGGACGTAAATTTAATTTGGCTGCAGCGTTGCATGACTGTGCAATTGTCAGTTAAAGTAACGCAGCGCCGTAACGCAAAAAAATGGCCTGGGCAGGAAGTTGGGTAAATCCTCTGGAGGGCAAGTGGTTAATCACCACAGTTTTTATCTAAAAATACAATAAAAATACAATACAATACTTCACTTCAAAAATTCGATTCTGTCGTACGAGAATTTTCATTAGTTGAGTAACCTCTTTGTTTTCTATACGGAGACTAGCATGCGAAAAAAGAACAACGGACAATCATTTGTCCGATATTCTTATAGTGTGTATGAGGCTTTGTAAACACATATCTTGTGATAAAAATGGAGGAGAGTCTTCTTCTGGAAGCTGAGACATTCATTGCTCTCATTTGTGGCCACCCCTGCATCTATGATCCCAGGGATCCCCATTATAAGAGCTGGGCAAGAACCACAAGAAACTGGGAGGAAGTGGAACAAAACTTGCTGCCCCAGTGGAACAGCTACACTGCTCCCCAGATCAAGAACGGTATAGTCAGGGTGGACTGATTTAAATCACTAGTGAAAAGGCTTGATTTAAATCATAATTTGTAAAGAGCAACTGTCATCTCTGTCCCACAGAGGCTCCTCCTCTGACCCGCTGTTGACTCACTGACAGCCCCATTCACTTTAATTGGACGGCTGGTGATGCGGCAGTGACACAACAAGGTGAAAGACGTGGCAGCAGCAGGTGAATGGATGCCCGCTAACAGGCGCTGCCATGATGGGTCTAAAAGCTGCTCTTTAAATGTAAAGACTCGACTCATTCTTGCTGGTAGTTAGAATCTTCAATATTTGCAAACCAAATTAAGGTTTCCTTTTTAGAATAATAAGCTGTCAGGTTAGTAAAACAGCTATATCAGAACCGATTTTAGGTTAATAGGTAAACAGCTTAAGGCCCTCCCACAGTACATTTACTGCTGCAGGGCGGGCCCGCTGCACAAAATCACGATTTCGCGGGCCGGATGGGGCACGCGAGTGCCCCCCCCGACCCACGGGTGTCCCAATTCCATCCCTGAGGGATCAATCATCCGATTTAGGCCAGTGATGTCTGGCCTAATTCGGATGATCGATCCCTGTCCTATGTTGTCAGTTACACAGGACAGGAAATGAAGACATCTTCTCTCCCTGGGCACATTCTGTCCCAGAGAGAGAAGAAAGAACACCAACTGTGAGTACAAACTGCACACAAATCCAGTTAGAACACTTTAGGACACATTTAACCCCTTGATCACCCCCCCCCAGTTAACCCCTTCACTGCCCTGTCACCAGTGTCATTAGTACAGTGTACAGATGTTTTGCTATCTGAAGGGATCAATATGTTTGATCAGATCACCCTATACCAGCGTTCACATTAGTATAGCGTCCCCAAAAACACAGCGTTAGCAGGATCAGCCACAGCACCTGCATTTAGCCCCTACGATTACCCCCCCCCTCCCCCAGAAAGTGCAGTGTCAGTAGGTTGCTGACACTTGATACTTGAGTCTTGAATCTTGTAGGCCTCTTCACTAGAGTTTCTTTCCATTGACATTTTGGCCACTAAATTTATAGGTACCTAGTGCGACTCACAAGAAAAAGAGTGCCTGGCTGTTAGGAACTGCTTGAGCTGCTACAAAACATTTACCAGCAAGTGCTAACAGAGATCAGGCACACAAAACCGCAGTGATCGCAGAATCAGGCCTGATCTCTGTTAGCACTTGCCGGTAAATGTTTTGTAGCGGCTCAAGCAGTTCCTAACAGCCAGGCACTCTTTTTCTTGTGAGTCGCACTAGGTACCTATAAATTTAGTGGCCAAAATGTCAATGGAAAGATACTCTAGTGAAGAGGCCTACAAGATTCTGAGCATGTCAGGTGAGAAGACCCACTGACACTGTAGACAGCAGAGGCACCCTGACAGATAGCTCAGACGATGGAGAAGAGTTCCCTAATAAAGTTAAGGCATACCCGACCCCGTTCCCATGTTGCTGCAATGTTACAATCGCATGATGACTCTCATATGCAGCAGATTGCCAGCACTACCTTTTGGTGCACTGGCGAGCACCAGTGGCCTAGTACATCCTGGCTTTCACATACCAGCACTGCAGTATCACTTGGTGACGTGGTGAGTCCCATAAGTGCAGTACAAGCTGGTGCAGTGGGAGCACAAGCAGTGTCCTGCAGCCACCAAGAATTCGCACACAGGTCCGTAGAGCCCCTAGTATCCTTCCAAATGCGCTTGCAAATCTTGATTGGTAGCCCAAAAATTCTGCAGTACCCGTACTTCCCCATTCACTGCCCAACCTGGAATTTAGGTGGAAACAGCAAATTTAACTGCTCCACTTGATTTTTGGAGCTGTTTTTCACGGAAGATCTGTATGCATTGATTGTGGATCAAAGCAATTTATATGCACAACAGTTTATTGTCGCCAACCCATATTCAAACCTTGTTAGACCATTCACATGGAAACCCATTATGGTTTCTGAATTTAAAGTTTTTTTTGGCCTAACCGTCAACATGGGCATTACTAAAAAAAATGAATTGCGGTTGTATTGGTCCGCAGACCTGATTCATCATATGCCCGTGTTCTCTGCTGCCATGGCCAGGCATAGATATGAGAGTATAATGTGTTTCAACAACAACACACTCTGCCGTCCTCGGGGGTGAACCTGAATTTGACCGGCTCCACAAAATTTGGGAAACATTTGCAGATGTCTATACTCCCCAGCAAAATATTTACATTGATGAGTCCCTCATTCATTTTTCTGGCTGCCTTGCACTTAAACAATTTCTCCCTACTAAGCGTGCCAGATATGGTGTCAAGATGTATAAGACCTGTGAGAGGAAATCAGGCTATACATATAAGTTTCGGATTTACGAGGGAAAAGATCACGTGGAGACCCCTGGATGTCCAGATTACATGGGGAGCAGTGGCAAGATAGTTTGGGACTTCCTGTCATCGTTTTTTCATATGGGGTGCCACTTATACGTGGACAATTTTTATTCAAGCGTGCCATTATTTAGACATTTGTATAATCTTGGAATTGGCGCTTGTGGCACCGTGCAACCTAATTTCTGGGGCTTCCCCCAACGGCTTGTAAATACCAGTCTTAGAAAGGGGGAAAAAGCCTGCTTGAGAAATGAGGAATTGCTCGCAGTGACGTGGAAGGACAAACAGGATATTTTTGTCCTGTCTTCCATTCACGCAGACACAACCGTCCAAATTGCCATGGCAGCTGGTGCTGTTGAGAAGCCCCTCTGTGTCCACGATTATAACCTTAGCATGGGACGGGTGCACTACAACGACCAGATGATGAAACCGTACTTGGTTTCCCTTAAAAGCCAGATGCTGGTACAAAAAAGTTTATGTTTATTTCAATTGGCTCTATATAATGCTTTTGTGCTTTACAAAGCAACTGGACAAAGTGGATCCTTCCTAAAATTCCAGGAAGAGAGCATCACGGGCCTTTTGTATCCAGAAGGTGCTGTGACCCAAAC